AGGACATTCTAAATATAACCAGTCGTGATAAATGAATGAATCTGTTTTGGTTTACATCCAAATGCTCTCTGGGCGACAGCAGAAACCATCCCCCAACCTTCTCCTCCTCACCCGTAAAGCCTTAAATAAATGGATTGACTTTTGGACAAGCGACAGTTTTCCGTCATAATTGTTAATTATCATGAGTGCTCTCTGAAGTACTTTCTATGAATGGAGATGGGACGCTCTCTCTCCTCCTCCACCCTCTGTTCTTTTTATGGGATTGGTCTTAGTTCTCAAGGACGTCAAAAAGGACGCCAGCGATGGAGGGAGGAGGTGCGACGGATGGGTGGGGCACCTGCGTCACTCCTGCGCATCAGGGGTTGGTGGATTTTATGGCAACAGGCGTCAGGAAGCTACACCCCCTCTAACCTCCCCCCACCCCTCAAGTCCATCTCCCCTGCCTGACCACCAGCAGCCCCACCCATCCCTGAGTGGCTCCTCCCTGAGTCCGAGACAAGAGAGAGTACAGCACTTAAGGTAATGTAAATAACCAGAGCGAGAGCTATTTTAAGACACTCTCTTTCACTGTGGCCACGGAGGGGGACAAAGATGCAAGCCAAGCGATTGTAATTTCAGTCACGTTTTCGGACATGTTCTCTTTCTCCGTCTACCAGCCAGCTAGCTGAAGGGCCTGACTGCTAAGAAAGAGCTTGGGCTGGCTTCACTCTTAATGTGAGCCTTTTTCTACAGAGAGAGACGTTTTTTAAAATATAGATTTTACAGTAACAGACAGCTGAACGTCTGAAGCCTGAGATATCTCATTTGAACTTAAAATTTCACGCAAAATGTAGAAATTCTATAAATTAGATCCTATAAATAAGCCATCTTCCAAAAGGGAACAAAAGAAAATCTGAGGTTTACAGAAACATTAACAGAATTGAAAATAAGGAAAATTTCAGCACACAAAAGTGTACTCTTGCTTTTCTTCTGATCTTTGTTTTTTTCTTTTTGTAAATAAATCAGTTAGGTTACATCTTTAAGCCTCTAAAATGATAAACACAACAGTGAAAAATTACTTTTTAGTTGAACCCTGGTCAACATACTGTAGCTCTGTTTAAGAAATCACATGCCAAGGAACCTCGACCCTGGAGGACCATGATGCTCTTCATGATTCAGCATCATGACCAACAAAAAAACAAACAATTAAACAAAGAACAACGACAACAACCCCCCAAAACAGCTTAAAAGACTCAACTGTGTATACTACAATCTAATTTAGTAAAAATTCGTAAAGAAAATTTGTTTTTCTCACATGCCTCCATGAAAAACAGCCAACATATTGATTCATATTGACTGACTGGGGACCACCTTTATCAACAGCAAAATTATATCAAACTCACACAATTTTTGCAGCATAATCCAAGTCTCATTTATCCAGTCGTATACTCAGTACTTCCCAAACATTTTCACTAAAACCTTAAAACTGAACTGAAGGTGAAACTTATCCATGCTCTCTTTAAAGTCAGACTCCACTACTGAGGATTTTTAGATGAAATGCATGCATTGCTTGTGCCAGAAAATGCTTCAAATTACAGTAACCACAATTTTAACCATTTACAACCAGTAAAAACCTGACAACCAGTGTTTTCCCCGGGTCAGGGTCACTCACTGGGCCCAGTTTTACAGTAACAGAGGGTTAAACATCTGGCAGAATATACAAATATACAAGATAGAAGTGTTTTACTGGTTAGTGACACTTGGATTATATTATGTGAGAGGTATTTTTTCTCTGATACAGTTTTGCTGTTGTTAAATGTGGACCCCAATCAATCAGTAAATCAATATGTTTGCTGTTTGTTGTGGAGGCATGTTAGAAAAACAAAGAGTTTATGTCATGAATTCAAGGGTAACCCTGCATGACTAACTGATTTACAAATGGTTGTTTTGTGGGTGAACTATTCCTTTAAGTAGAACCACATTTTTAGTACCCTCAGAGTGTCTTGTTGGACATGAGTCGGCAAACAAAAAATGTGAAATACCAATTTAATCTTCTTCCAAAAGTAGAATTTATATATCTTCCTGAAATAATAGTTTCTTTTTTTATTGTTTGATCTTTTATGACATCAAAAATAAATAAACATTTAGACAGCATCTTTTCTATCTTATATCAACAATATTTAACCAGCATGATTTGTTACCTGTGTACATATATTTTTTTCCTCCATATTTATACAAACATACACATCACAGAGAAAATAATCTGTACACTGCTGTCGACAACAAACGAAAAAACAGACCTGTGAAGCAGAACCTGCCGCCACCTTGTTCTGCACCTGTTACTGTTTGACTTTGCGAAAATCACAAACAAAAACATACACAAACAGCAGTAGAAGTACACTACTTGATATAATCAGATCTTTTTTTTGTAGAGGTTACATTCATATTCAAGTCTTTGTTCGCTGCAGTCTGACCACAGTCCGGTCGCAACTGTGGGAATTAAACTGTTTTCATGAGCTTCATTAAGGCAGTTGAATACAAGATCATTTTAAACACTAATTTACACTGATTTTTATGATTAAAACGGCTTCTACACCTGACGTTAAAGAGAATATTAGCTAATGCTTCAAGTCAACTACTGTCACTACTGCTTGTATATTTCCTAGTCAGCATGATACATGGATTGTTTCTTTCTCGATTCACTGTCATGATGTGTTCATAACGAGAGACGTGATTGCCTGTCAAAACCTGTATGAAACTAAATCAGGTCTGGGTGTTGGTTAACATGTCGATGACATCACAGTTTATTTAATGTCTTAAATCATGACTCAAAACCTGATTATTTCAGTGCTGCAAATGTTCATCACACATAACATAAATTTATTGGCTTGATATGACATAATAAAGCTTCTCCATCATTTCTTCTTGATGTTTTTTACTTTCTCACAACCAGATATTTGTAATAATTGCTGTACAGGTGTGTGTGTATGTGTTATTGCTTTCATCTATTTGATGCTACAGTAATGTCTTTTTCTTCCAGACTATGGTTGTGCTGTCAGTCGCATCTTATAAAGTGTTATCTGTTTCATTCCTTCTCATATTTCTGATCAAATATGTCACCACTCAGTAGATGTTTGCAGCATCTCTTATCTTCACTCATTTGTTTTTTGTTCTGCTTTTTCATTAGTGATAAAAAATAAAATTTAATCAAATTAAAGCTGGGGCAGGCAGAAATCGCACGCTCCTCCTGCAGCTCTCCCCTCTCTGTCTTGAGCTCCTCCTACCTGACGACCACAGGCATATACACGCTCTTCATACAGTCACCAAGTGTTTCCTGTACATTGATTTATTTCATTCTACAGTTGTGTGCTGCACATTAGCTCAGCCCCTCCTTGTTCCTCTGTTTCTCTGTTTATCAAACCACAAATGAGACAAGAATTAGCAGCCTTTGTCCCACTCCCTGCCACTGTGGACTGCTTCCGTCATGAGGAGAACAGGCAGCCAGCGCAAACCCTTCCAGCGCAGGGTGTCACAGCGCCATGATGGCCAGCAGCGGCACTGGGTCTGACTGTGTAACCAACACATTCTCACTCTGACCTCGTCACATATGGGCATTTGGTCATGGACTTTCCATGTAGAGATATGACATGCAAGGTACCCTGGGTGTGTTGGTTGTTGACGTTCTGAGACACCGTGTCACCTTCAACCTGTTACATGCATTGTCTGTTTTCAAAATACACTTCCATTTTCACAGGAAAGTTTTCATACAGTCTCTTTCAAAATAAACGCACTACGTCAGTACAACACCGCAAATTAACGTCTTTTTTTTCCTTCAACAACTAATGCACGTGGTTAGGTTTAGGAAAAGACAGGGTTTGGCGTACTCTTACAGGAAGCAAACACCGGCATCCCAGGTGAAAGTCGGTGGCTGGTGGACCCATCGACCACCTCTCTCGCCTGCCCTACTCGGACTTTCGCTGCCTTAACTTTCATTCTTGTCCCTTCACATTTCCCTGATGCCACCGGCTGCATATCATGCCGACATGAAAGGACAGCTTTTTTTTTTGTCAATGTCTGACGCTGGAAGTCACTGCCCAAGTGCCGGTTTTTGACGACTTCCAAGTGAGACCGGGGCTGGGGCTGTCCGGTTCCGTTTGAAGTGGTGAGGAATGAGGCAGAGGACACACAGTGATTCGAGGCTCTAGCTAATGTTAGCTACATAAGCATAAACTTAGAGCTGCAGCTCTGAGCCTTTGGCTTCGGTTGGCATAAAGCTAAACTATTAGCAACATTTTCTCTCCATCTCTGAAATACTTTGCAGATATTAACACTTGTTTTATTTCATTTATTGTCACACTCTCTTTTAGACTCTTTTTGATAAGCCCTGCTTCCTTTTTTAAGTTGCTTTGCAGTGTCGGTAGTTGTTGTCAGTGCTGAATTAGCAACCTCTCTGCAGGATTCTCCGCCATTGAATCAGGCACGTGCATCTGTATTTCTAGAACAGCCAGTGGGAACATCCTCTCTCTGAAATGACCTGTGATTGGCCAAAGTTTCCCATCACAATCTAGATTTTCCAAAGCCTAAAAACAGAACCAAGAGGAGGTGCAGACATCTATCTTTCCCTCAGACCTCTCGAAATACAATATGCTCAGAGTTTAGGATGAGATTTTTAACCAGTGACGCCAAAATTAAACTGCCTACCCCAGCTTTAAGTCTGTGAACACAGTTTTCTTTAAGTAGATCTCCAAAGCAGTTCGTAAAAGGATGAATATACAGTACACCCAGCTATCTATAAGTACTACATGAGTGAACGTTTGATGTACGTCACAGAAAGAACTTCATGTCCGGACAATCAGCAAGCTGCTACACTATATATCCCAACATGTGGCTGTTATCCAGTCACCACATGCTGGATGTGGTACTTTTGTAGTCCCAAGGGAGGATGTTTGCTCGTAGTCTCTTATTTCTTTTTGCAGGATCTGACAGAGTAACCAGTTCTCTGGCTGTTCACTCACATGTTCTTTTTTTTTTTTTTTAAAATCACATCCTGAGTTTGTTATTCGTCATCATGGTGAGAGGAATCGGGGCTGGACTCCTCCTCCTCCTCCTCCACTGTTTCTTTTGGCAACGTGTCACGGCGTGTGAAGGCGGTCGCCAAGGTCACGCTCAGCCGCGATTTGACGGGCGCCATCTCCGACAGCCCGATGTTGTTTCCACGAGTCACAAGTGTCGTCTTATCCATAATCTCCCCACTGTGCTTGGACACCACTGCATCGAGAATGTCGTATTTGTGTGAAATCTTGCCGCTTTCAAACAGGTACTTTGCCAGGTAGGAGAAAGCAACGTTGCCCAAAAAGGAGGCGATCATGGAGACGGTCTTGAAGGGGAACTTCTGGACGATAACTTCCTCCTTTTCTCCAGTCATGTGGTGTATTCTCTCCTCAGTGATCCAGCCAGGGTAATAAATGAAAGGAGGCAGTCGCAGGTAGGGCTCACCTCCACCTATACGCAGCACCATGCCGAACAGGTAGGCAGCCACAGAGCCGTAAGTGTTGGTCCCTTTGACAAAGAGCACACTGAGCAGCTGGGGGAAGATGATGACGTAAACCAGGTCTGAGCTCAGATACCAGAGGCCGTAAACTGTCCCGGTCACCAGTGCCATTACTGTGGCAAGGCCGCCGAATACAAAGATGGTAATTCGCATCACCCACACGATCTCACGGTCAGAAGCCTGAGGAGACAGAGAGGAGTGGAAAAAGGATTGTGACGTGTGCAGAACAGCCAAAAACAACCCAAAAGAAACATGGATTTTGACTCCAGGGAACACGCATGTACTCACCGACTGTCTGAAGGCGAGCTGGTAGATGTTCCGTGCAAACATGGAGCTCGCTGAAAGGATGGAGGAGTCTGCAGAGGACATGACAGCTGCAGACACGGCACCCAGGCCGAAGAAAGAGACAAATGGCGGGCAAAGGTACTGGAGCACAATGGGTAGAATCATGTCTGCTTGTTCCTTCTCTTTAGGAGAAATGGCACCATAACTTGTCTGGTTCCAGTCTGAGCAAGGGAGAGATGTAATGACACATCCAATATGGCCAGTATAAGACATATACTATAGCATAAATAAATAACCACATGGCCTCCAGAGAACTTTTTGAAATTTCTCAGAAATTAAGGTAATTTGCTATTAAACATTCATAATACTGAAATATAATGCTTTAAAAACTAAATATGAAAGCACTGCAACATTTCTTTCTCATATAGTTTGGTTTTGTAATTTTTATTTCATTAAAACCAATTTTGCAAAGGTGTGAAATTAAATAGGATTTTATTGATGATGGTAATAAGCAAGGATGAACGTCAAGCCTGTCTGCATAGATAGAAAAAACCCTATAATTTTAATTCTGTAATGATGGCTCATGGTTTTTTTCCCCATTTTAAAACGGCATAAAACAAAGTTGTGTATTCAGGTATTCACCGAGAAATCTGATGCCTAAAAATCTGGATATCAAACCTCTAATTTGGTCCCTTGCCTCCCTCTAATGTAATATTTACACAGCCAGTGTGGTTATTAAATAGATTGCTGCTTCATTATGGATGAGGTGAACCAGCTGCTATTTACCAGGCTCTCTCAGATCTAAGGGCAACATGGACCCATCCAGAGCATTCCCCTCCCCAAACAAACACACACACAGACTGTGCATATGTGAGCTCATGTGTGAGCCTCTCTAACCTGTGGAGGCCCCGATGGCCCCGATGAGAACGGAGGGCACAGCCATGACGAGGCACCCGAAAGCAGCCAGGAAGGAGAGGACCTGGGCATAGGTGGCCGAGGAGGCGGACAGAACTCTCTGGAAATAAACCTGCCAGGGTATTCCTCCGAGCATCTGCAGGACAGTTAGAAACCAGAGGATAACATTCACAAAACACAAGCCTAACACAGATATGTCAGTTTTATTCAAATTGCAGCCCTTTCATGACAAGTAACAACAGATAAACACTGATTTGCAACATGAAACTGCTTAATTCAATGTTTTTACTGGTTTTAATCACCTGGTCTGTTTGTTTTGGAGAGGAAGAGACCTCTGTGGATAATTCGGCTACCGGTAAAAACCTCCTGAACAATGCACACTGAAGGGATCCTAGCTGAGAGAAGTTTCAGTCAGCTGCAATCTGCAATCATCACTGCTAGATGCCACTTCATCCCCCTAAAATTCAAGATCCTCAATAGGCTTCATCGGTAGGTTGGCCAGAATCTACCCGTGGTCAGACCCAATTTGGCCCACATGTAACCAGGAGTCAGCCAACAAGCCATGTATCACTCTGACCTCTGACTTTGTATAGTTTTTGTCGTTTTGTGTCTCTTTATGGTCATTTTGTGTCTTTCTGTGGTCATTTTGAAATAATTGTGTCTTTTTTTGGTCATTTTTTGTCTCTTTATGGTTGTTTTGCGCCGTTTGTAGTTATTTTGTGTCTCTTTGCAGTTCCTTCATGTCTCTTTGTTGTCTTTTTGTGTTTCCCCCGGTTGATACTCAACCTGATTAATCTGAGTGACATTTTGCAGATGAAGGCCAGGAGGGTCCCTGAAACTTTGGGCCCCTTGCCTGTGAGTAGGCCTGTTCAGTAATTCATTCATGTGAACACACAAATCAGGCAGAGGTTATGGCTTTTTCCACTTTACGTTATTGGCTAGACAACTGATTGATTTTAGTTAGAAGCAGGCCGCACCACTGTCCTGTAATCGCTTGGTGGAGGAGGTGATGGTACACTTCCAACTTGAGCACCCTATATATGTTTTCCCTTTTGTATTACTTGCCATATAGCTCAATTAAATGATTTGATAAAGAGCTGTAGTATATTCACTTCCTAAGTGATGTGGCTGATGTTTATCACTTGTAAATTTTCTGTAATTCAACCAATAGTCTCAGCATGATGGTATTTAGTTCATCAACACAATCAGCTTTAGACCTTTTGACCTAGTATTGGTCTAGTGGACAAAATTCTGATGAAGTGAGGGATGAATAACTCATGTTGACTGTACCAGGAGGCAGAAGTTGTCGATCCAGACCCAGGTGTCAGTCTTGTTGACGCTGCCTCTCCAGGGCGACTGGTACACCTGCTTCACTGCAGTAACGGTAATGTCCGACACCGCAGGGTTGATCAAAGCAAAGGGGACACTGATCCACTGTGGACGTCAAAAAACAAGCACAGGAAAACAAAAACTTAATGGGATTATAACTTAGGCTCTTTGTTTATCTCACCTTAGTTTGTTGTGAGCCCTTGGAGCATTTGTGGTTATATTTGTGCAGAATTCTACAGTACATCTGGTGCAACAAATACAGTAAACCTACTCAAGATGTGTATCTGACTACACTAGTTGCTATCATGTACTTTTCATTTCTGCTCAGCTTGAACCTACCAGGCCAACAAAGATACAGAAGAGCTGCACGACGTCAGTGTAGGCCACAGAGTAAAGTCCTCCGACCAGGGTGTAAAAGATGGCTATGAGCGCTGAGATAACCACTGACATTTTAATGTTGATGTCGACTATGACGCTCAGTGTGGCACCTAAGATCATGAGCAAACAGATGAAAGGATATTATGACCACTGCAACATCACAAAGACAATAATCTGATTTTATTGCCCACAAAAATCTTTTATTTTGTTGCCTCTAGAGACATGAACTCACCGAGGGCTGATAGGATAGCAGCAGACCAAAAGATCTCACCCATCAGTGCGGGTATGAAGAGGAGGCCACCCATGCGTTTCCCATACAGCTGCTGGAATGGGTCCAGCATGGTGACGTAACCTCGTGAGCGCATGGGCTTAGCGAAAAAAAGACCACCTAGGACAAAGAGTGGAGACATTACAGACTGAGGAGGAGGGCACTCACCATCCAGAGGCCCTGAATCAACTGGCTTTTGTCAAGTCTACATTTATACATAGTCATGGTTACTTGATATTAATGTTACAACTGACAGAAATCATAAAACAGAGGCTTGAACAAACAGGTTTAAGACTGAACAAGGATTTTCCCCTGCAGAGGTGAAGTTCTCTCCCTCAGAGGGATGAATGGAGGACCCAGTGACGGTTTAATTAGCACCTAAACTAAAAATCTCAATCAGGTATGTGGTCAGTAAGTCAGTATATTAATATGTGGGGTGTGTTGTAGTGTGAATGTGCATAAGGACCCAAAATCCCTTCTTATGTTCCTGCTAACAAGGAATGTCCTACCTCTATTTTACATGGTTTAAAACCACTCACCCACAACGAGACTGAGGGCATATCCGAAGGGAGCTTGAGCCCAAGCCAAGCCATAATCAGGCAGATACACATACTCAGCTGTGCCATTTATATATCCTCCTCCAACCCAGGTCGCTGAAAACACCCACACACACAAACAGGATGCCACATGAGAAAATCAGACAAAAGAATTTCATATATTTGGCATTTGTGCTAATAAAAATATATATAAAATATTACAAAATGTTGGCAATTATTTCTAAAGAAAACATCCTGAAACAAGTTAGAAAAAAATTAAACTATTAAAACAGATCTGTGGGTTAATTTTAAAGCCTTTTTAAACAGTCCTGGTCACTGAAATCCTGTGAGACTGAGTCATAAATACAAACTTTACCTGTCATGGTAAATCCACCGACAAATAATCCAATGTCTCTCCCTCCGACCATGATGGTTTCGCTGCGGTCGGTGCCCTCCGCCTCCCCGGAGTGTTTGTTCTTCCATGCCGCCCAGATGCCCACGAACAGGATCAGCAGATAGAAGAGCGCGATAGCCACAAGCCCCTCTACATGGATGGTCATTGTCGCACCGGTCTGCCGCTAGGAACGGGAGGGCATGGAGACCTGCTTTGGCGCACGGAGAGGAAAAGGTTCAGATTTTGTTTTAGTGCAGTCCGTAAAAACAGTAATTTGGCGTGTAGTTTTCTACAACAATTTGATATTTTGCTTCGTTTGAAACCCACAGAAAACTTTGATTTTTAGCAGGTTTTAGTTGGATTAACTGACCATTCACGCGTTGACTTGCTGAAATAGAAAATTAGAATAAAAATATGGCATGAGAGAGAATTTAATCTGCTTACTTGCTAGTTTTAATTCGCTCTTGTGGCTCTCAAAGCTGTGTTTTTTTTTTGTTTTTTTTTTTAGAAATATGACTTACAATTAAGCGCAGGTCATTTGTGGCGATCGTCTTTCTACATTTTATAGCAATAAGGAAAGTGAACATCTGTTGAAAAGAAACCTGAGTCTCTCTTTATATATTTTCTTGATTCCTTCAGGCAAAGACATCCAGTAAGCGCCATATAGTTTCTGGTTCAATTCAAACAAATGTCAAACAATTCCCCAAATAAACTAGAATGAATTAAAGAAAACTGTGAGATTAGTTTAAAAATACATCCCACTTTATCTTTTATTTTGTGACTTCGTTTTTTCTCTTTTCTTTTGTCCTTTTCTCCGTACACACCCGCGTAAAAGTCATATTACGCACAAGATTCATGATAAGAATATGACCACCCAAAGCTCTAAACATGTGTCTCCAAATTTAAATTAGATAAAGAACTTTTACCTCAACATCTCCACTTTTGTCATGCTCAAATCAACAATATATCATCCTCTAAAATGTCATTTGATTTAATAAACGGACCTAAACAGTTTACTAAAGCTTGGAAAACACATGCAAAACTCACCTCAAGTGTTTCTAGAGTCATGTGCTGGGGCACCTGAGGCAGAAAACAGTGAGCAGAACAGTTTGGACGGTTTATTAGGAAACCTCGTCCCCGTCTATGCACCGGCGAGGAACAGTTAAATGACACGTTGGTGGAGGTCTCCCGGGTGACTTACTGGAGCTTATAAGGGGGCAGGTGCCGTCAGAGGACTGATACACACGTCAGAGAAGCCAAACGTCCCTCTTAATGAGCACCTTGCATGGAAACACGTCACAGTGTACCGGCTGATCTGAGTGGAGGAGGAGGGTGGAAGAGGTTCCTTCACTCAATAACGGGGATGGATGGGCAGCTTGTTTTTTTTTTTTTTTTTTAAAACCACTGAATGGCATGACATGAATTTTAATATCAACGTTGCATTTTTACACATTAAATAATCGATAATCTGTGGGGGAGTTTTAGTCTCCATGTGGCTCCTGCTCCTTCAAACTCAGTGCGTAACAGCCGCCTAATTGCGCAGCCATACTTCATGTGGCCTTTTATCCGCTGTCACTCTCCACAGCCGGCATTTTACCTTACAACCGCAATTAACTTTGCTCCACAGGAACAGGTTTTTTTTTTGCGCGACTGAGAGGGAAATGAAGTCGCCCTGATGCCCTCATTGCTTTGCAATAAAGGAAACTGTGGAGCGATGTATTTATTGGAAAATAACTTAATTTAATACTCATCAAGTGCATTTTACAGGACTTCACCTCTGTCAAGCTTGTTAATCTTCGCCACTTTCTGAAACAGACACCGTCCACTCTTCTTCCTGATTTGGGGCCTATCATGGAGGGATTCATAGACTAATATGCTCCCCACCTTTGAGCAATTAGAAATCATTTAAGTGCACTGTGCCTGCCACTTTCCCTTCAGGGTTTATATCAGTGAACTGTGTCTACTTAATGGCCGTCTCTGCCTCAAGTCGTTTAATCTGGGCTACTCTTGTCAAAACTGACAGACATCCAATTAGGATGGATCCTGAGGAGCAGTAGGAGAGATTTAATGATACAGTCTGACTTTAAGAAAAAAAAACTGACACACACGCACACACACACTCACACACTCACACACACACACACCCATACACACTAAGCATGGGACAGATGCACAATAGTGTAAAGGAGAAGTTATTTCCTAAAGAGGGCCCAGGTGTTTGCTCATAAAGAGAAATGGTGACAAGTTGCAACTGCTGGACGCGCACAGCGCTCCCTTCTGGCGACAGAAGCGTTTCAGCACCATGGACAGAGGTCTGTAAATTTGCCTCCCTGTTAGGAAACGTTTAGATTGATCTTAATTGTACCATTTGATGGGACTGCAGCATAATGTGTGATATGAATCATATGGTCATTATTTGGTTCTTATTGAAGAAGCAGAAATTATTATTGTAATTATTATCTGGCCTCTTTAAAGGCATTTTTGGGGTGCTTGGCATGCTCGAAAACACATGAAACTTTGCACACTTGACAGAAGTGCTGAAAATAATAGATATCTGATATGGGGCCTGAGCATGGGCGTGGCAAATTTGCTTAAAGTAACAGCCCCCACCTGTAAATTTCATGTAGATGTTTAAAATTTGGAAGGTAAATGTAACATCTGCAGACACACAAATAAGCCTCATGGAGACATACCATAAACCCAGCAGGAAGTCAGCCATTTTGAATTTATTGTGCAATTTTAGGGCCTTTTTCCACCATTTAAAAGCACTTGAGTGTTCAACAGGAAGTAAGCTTTAATGATGATGATGATGGTGAAAAGATGTCACCGACTATTTGATTTTGTTGATTGAACTGTTACATTTAGACCATATTTCCCCAGGATTTGCAACACTGACTTAAATGTGGATGTGATTTCTTAGTGGACAAGGATCCAAAATGATGACAGACTAATATTTGCAGACTCTAGAGAATGAAAAATTTCACTATTGCAAATTGTGAAATATGGTCTAAATGTGAACGTTCTATGACATCTTCAAACAGTCAGTGAAAAACTTTCACCTACCTATTCTGAACATCTTTTCACCAGTGACCATTGTCGTTTTTTTAAACGTCTTTTGAACTGAAAAGTGTTTGCTGAGTTGTCATTTAATTTATATGAAATTTTCAGTGTGGTCTTGACTTGATTCTCAGCAACAAAATGCATGTTGGGTGCATGTTTTCTAGTGCTTCCTAGTTGATACTGGAAGTGATACAAAATGTATAATCTAATGTATCATCTCCACTGCCTTGTGAGAGAAGGTGACAGGGCCTTGTTCATCGCTGCCTGCAGCTTTAATTTCTGTCTATATTTATATTTTGACAACACAGTGATAGTTCATTTTTCTGGATATGTCAGCCATTTCCTTAAGCAAGTCATTTTTTGGAACACCAGTTTTAATTACTTTGTTTTTACCATCCCTGCCCTGATGAAGATTCTGTGAGGTGGATACTGATCAGCATTTTAACCGATATACTCCACTAAATGAAAGTTTGTAATCAGAGGAGTACCATAGTTACAATGGGCCCCAGTGCATTCTAATATGACAGGCCCTTATGCGCCCTGTTACTAGTTATGAAGCACACACACAGAGTTTTAGGGCATATTTGTATTTTACCAGCAGTGGGTCTTACTGCCGCTTTTATGTTACGTCCACTTGCAGATGTGTCAGTCTTGAGAGATTTTGCACCTAAACTAGCTACTGTAAATCATATTGTCTTGTTACATTGATATTGGAAAACATCAACATATTACTCAGCGTTCATCACTACATATAAAATAGGAAATTATTAGTTAAACTTAATAGTTTTTTTTATAGTTAAATTATAGTTGTTAATAGTTACGTAGAATAAGATGGTCATTTTGTTATAGATTGATACTATCTTACGAAAACAGAAAACCATGATGGAGAGTTCTTCTTTGAACACAATGCTACACACACTGCAACTGCATTGCCTGCACTGTCTATATTTAAGCCCGTTTGTAATAACTTCTCTTCGCTCAGCCTAAGAGCACTTGAGGACCATTTTCCTCTCCGTTATAATAATGTGTTCATTTAGGAATACTATGACAAAACTACTTGACTCTGCTTGAAAGGCTTAACAGTGTTCTTCTGTGCTTTCCTGTTTAAATTAACCAAACATAAAGTAACAAACACAGACAATGAGAAAAGTTGAGCGATTGGAGCATTAACTTGAACTGGATTTTGTTTAACATCTGACAAGCGATTCTGTGTGATACTGATGCCAAAATCCAAATTAACCGGCAGACAGCTGGAAAGGTTTCTAACTGCATGTTTGACAGATGGCTGCCACATGACCTTGACACTTTCTCAAGCCAAACACTGAAGCAAAAGCGTGTTTACAGCTTGATGATACTAACTACACACACATGTTCCTTAATGATGTCAACATATAGATCCACAAATTTACACAATTTACAAAGATGAACAGGTGTGCTACATATAATAACAGAAACCCTCATAAGTTCTATAAATGAATGTTTATGTTTAATCAAATAAATTCTGCAGTGCTCAAGGACTGGAGGTTTAATGAGCAGCTGTTGCTGGCAGCCCTCAAGATGTCTGAGAGAGAGAGAGAACTAGAGTGTGTGAGAGCCACACAGAGGAAGAGAGAGGAGATAACACCACAGTGACATTACTTCCAAAATCAGGAAACAATACTCATTTTCCACAATATTTATTCTTTGAAAAGTAACACATACAATGTAATAAACAGAACACACACATTTGATAGTAACAATCTATAAAGTCTCTGATACTAAAGTGAACTTGTGCTCACAGAGTCTGTTTTGAAATAAATGTCTGGAGGACTTGACACACCTCTCCTCGTTTTCAAAATATGAGGTGTCTGAAGGATATGAAGCTCATCCCGGTAAATCATCACTGACATGTTTGTAGAGTTAGACGAAGACAATATATTACAAAATCAATGTCGTGTCCTTAAAGCAACTATGAGCGGGAGGATTTGAATATTTTGGACTTGGGCGTCACCCAGTGGATGTCCAAACTGGGACACTGATGTAACTGGGCTGAACATGACACACAGACTAATTTTCACTGGAAATGTCTTCTTGAAAATGTTAGACAGTAAAATGATTCAGAACTTTCAGAAGCAGAATTTTTAGCTTATGTTTCTTGTCTGTGGTTGGTAAATCTGTTGAAATGAATTCACTTTATCTGATTCACAACTAAAAGATGTAAATACATAAAATCTAACAGGAATAGTTTTATCCTATCCATCTCATACACTCTGGTAATATATTCTACAGTTAATATTTTAAACTTAAGTGAACAAGACCCTTTAAAATAAGACATAACTGTCTTAATGTTAGTCAAACATCCTAGATTTGCTGCATGGTGCAGCCCTAAATGTGACCAGGACTGTAAGGACACCCATTAGTGATTTTATCCTGATATTTTCTGTCTATATTTGGTTTCATGTCAAGTGTTATTGGAGGAAAATATTTTTGGATTGTTGCAAGGCCTTTTTGGGGTATCTTAGAACTAAAAAGCAGGTTTAAATGAGACATTTGTGAGCACGAAACCACAGATTATATAAAATAAAACACTATTATCTTAAACATCGTATCATACATTTTTGTCAGTTGTTCCCTTTTGCCTTGAACTTACTCAAAAACAGTGAAACGCCCCACACAGCTCGGTTGCAGCAATGCACCAAAACTAAAAAGCAACCACAAACTCTGATCTGTGCAGAAATTGTTTTTAATGCAAGCTCTCAGTCCGAGACTGGAGAAGAGGATCAAAGACTTGCATTAAAAACTGCGTGCAGTCTGAGCAGATGACTCTTCCTCTCAGTTGTCTGCCTTTGAATCACTGGAGTACTATGAGTACATTATACGACGCATTTTGTTTGATTACATTCTTCTTTTTTGAGCAATGAAATAAGGCAAGGATAAAAACACTGGTTGAAAAACAGCTTTGTAAAGACGAGTTTTGACTTTGAACCAAGCTAATTACCTCGACATTCACTTTATGACAAATTGTTTTATCACCTGTTACAGCTAAGTTAACTAGACATGTACACTTAGCTACAAGTACAACAAAATATACAGGGTCCCTTAAAACATTTAATTCAAAATGTATGTTTAAAGCTACTCAAAAAAAGAGCAGCATTAATCAAACATGAGCAGAGCTGCATGAAGTTTTAGCTGCAGTATAGATATAGTAGTTCTTATTTTTAATGTGACAGTGAGATGGGCCTATATGCAAGTCTGAGAAAGGCGATGTGCTCTCGAACGCATGACACAAATACCAGAAAACTTGCTTCTGCTGAAAAACTCAATTATAGTTAACTGAACTGTTGTGATGGTTAAACGCAAATAATAATATGTTTCCACAGAAGCCCTGAGAGACATAAGAAAAAAAGAAAAAAATGGAGCATTTGGCATATTTCAGAGGTGGAAACAAGTTCTACAGTGCCTTCCTTACAGGTCGTCTTGTATGTATTAGCCCATTACATGTAATAGTATTAGTATGAAAATGATAAATGTCAGCCAGTGGACAAAAAGTGGACCTTGAGTTTGCATCACTGGTGATATCATGTGATGCCAGTGTGAAAAAAACAGCTGTGAAACGTGTCTGCAGGGAAGCTGGCACATAGCTGAGGGCTAAAACATATAAAATAACACACCCAACAATATGTCCTCTCTATAAGACATCCCAGGTATTCATGCTCCCTAAAATGAAGACAGCACCAACCAACATAATGTCACAGATCATGATCCCTGTGAGCCTGCACGGCAAAGCTGTTTATCACTTTGACCTCATAACGCTTGCATGGAAAAGTAAGAATATATCCAAAATAAATGTATTTAAGTTGCCAATTTGTATGGTTCCCTTTGACTCTGGATGCATCTTTATGGTTGTGTTATTACTGGTACCAGGGAATCAAGTCGTGAACTCATTTGTCGCATGAAACCACACACATCTGAGAATCAACGAAATACCCCATTGAAAACATTTCTTTCCCGTGGTACCTCTGAAAACTGGGTCAAGTGGTCTTTCAGAAAAGACTTCCTGGTATGCTGCTACTTCTGGTGTGTCTGTCCTCACGCCCTCACGTTCTCATTGTTTTGATTTGATCTGGAAAAACATGAGAAATGCAGTTAATCAGAAAAATATAAGGGAAGTTATGAAAAAATCTAAGACAAATCTGTGTTATTTATTGGGGATGCAGATATTGGATTTTTTGCCAATATCCAATATGCCAATATATAACAGCTTATTTGGCCATAACAGATACTGAAATGGATATGTCCATTTTTTCCCCACCTAATTTCAGTGATCATCAAGTCTCTTGACTCAGTGGATGTAGTAAGGAGTACTGGAAGTGATGAGTTTTAGTCATATTGTGCTGTTAGTAGAGCTGTGACGGTATGAATTTCATACCATGAAGCTCAAAACGAAAAAAGAAAAGGGGGCGATGACGATGATGACCTCATCATCGGGGTACCTTCAAGTACCGCTATCGTATGGTTATCGTCACACAACCTTGACGTTGACTCAGCTACTTTAAGACAGCAGTCACAATAACACAGTAAGCATGGTAAGGAAAAAGTAGGGGAATTATTTTTTCATACAATCTTTTACAGCTATGCAGCAACACAATAAATAACACGCAACATATAAAGCAGCCAGTACTCACTGCATAATTTGATCTATGGAAGGATTTGAATGAGAGCATTAAAAATAATACAAAGAAAAGCAAATGATGTTAATGTAGTGGAACATTAACACAAAGTTATGTGCAGTGTATCTTTCAGTCGTACATGGACATGCATTTAAACAAACATGTGATCCATTCTGATGTGGAGAAAAACATTTTTAAATTCTACAGATTTGTAGGATTAAGAGGGAAATTGTTGGTGCTTACAATGAGGGCGAAAAATGGAAATACATATTTGTTCTGGAAAATTTCAAAATTATTAAAACCTAAATGACACCGTCCAACAATAAACTAATTCAGCCAATTGTTGAGCGTTTCAAGAAATATAAAAACACATAAAATGCAACGTAGGTTTTGAAAATGACCACTAAGATCCTTGCTGCTTATTAACTGTGGTTGTGTCTGCATTAAGTGGCTAATATTGAATTTAAAGTTATACAACTAATATAAATCCGTAACACAGTGAAACAACTTTAACATTTTTGGTTTTCTACAAATGACCTATAATAAAATGTTGTGTTTCTTGCCATCATTATGTCCAAGTAAAATTTAGATGCTTGTTTAGCTAAGATGACAAATGTCAGACAAATTGTGGCAGATACTTTGTTCCTGTTATTTTGCTCATGTACACACAAACTCAACATTTCTTAAACAGATTTTTTTAATTGATTGCATACAATGTAGGTAGAAGCTGATCTGATATACATGTATTCTACATGTAACAGTGAATAAAATCTCAACATACCTTGTAACCAGTCGACTCCCTCCTGTAAACCTTCTCCTTTCAGAGCATCGGTAGCACTGAAACAAATCAACACATTGTGTTAAAAAAAAGCAACAAACCTTTAGGTCCTTTTTTTTTAACATCCTGGCAATTACCGGAAATTAGTGTACATGTGTGTTCATACCAGATGTGCCAGGGTTTGTCTTTGATGTTCTCCAAACACAGCAGCTGTGAGACCTTGACAGAAGACAGAGCATCCCTGACATCCATCTTGTTAGCAAAGAACAGGATGGGGATCCTCCTGTGTTTAATATCTGTAGTGAGAGTGAGAGGGATGACGTCAGAAAGTTAGTGTGATAAATCTGTAATGTCATTCGGTTCTACTAATGTGTAACCATATTGTGAAAAGCCTGAGAAAAAAGAAGACAGATGTGCTATTGGCAAATCCTTAAGTGTGCTCATTTTTCAACAGTAAAAACAGCCCTCTTTGCTTAATGCACAGTTTAGACTGAAAATAGCCCAAGAAAGAGACAGAACAGCACAACGATTTACTGGGCTGAGATTTAAAACCAAGTTAAAGAATCATGATAAATGTACATAAGCGTACCAGGATGGTTTAATAATGTGTCCAGTTCTTCTTTGGCTACTACCATCCTCAGTTTGTCTGCACTGTCAATGACAAATATGATAGCCTGGCCTTCCCTGAGAAAAACAAAGAGATCACAGGAATTATTATGTAAAACAATCAGAAAAAAAGCATTGGTGTTTTTTGTAGCACTGGTTCACTCACTTGTAGTAGTGTTCCCAAAGGTTTCTGTATCTGCCTTGACCAGACATGTCAAACACTGTGAAGGACAGACTACAAGAAGAGAGGAGAAGAGAAGAGAGAAAACTTTGATGCGCTTATTGCAGTTGTAGATTAGGGTTGTCAAAAACAGCATAATATATCCGAATAGCTCCAAAATTATTCGAATTTACTTGAAACAGAAATATGCAACTGTTAGAGAATGACACAACATCTTAGACTACCATTTTTTAAACAACAAACAACAAGCTGTTGTTTCATGATGAGCTACCTGGATGTCTTGAACTTCTCTATGCTGAAGCCAATGGTTGGGACGATGTCTTGTGCCTGGGCCTGAAAGACAAATGCAGCATATTGTAAATAAAAACCTAAATAGGGAGTACAAAGTAACTACATGTCCTAAATTCTTTCCTAAATTGCTAGTTAACCATAAACAAGTGATGTATAGATAGCTATGGGAAAATGATAATTCTAGGAAAACAAAAGCAGTAACATAGAATATGGATTTGCAGAACTCCTGTAATCCCTCATTTGGTACATACAAGTCTATCTGACATTATACTGGAAGAATTTTACTATGATGCTATCTTAGTCCTAAATCGTCAACATCATAGTACACATTGAGTAGACTTACATTAGTGGGCTTGAGCTGGTTGATGATGGTGGTTTTTCCACTGTTGTCCAGACCAAGACACAGCACATTCACCTCTTTCTTCAAACCCAGCCATCCTGCCAACTTGTCAAACAGCCCCATTGGCTAGCCAGCAACCATCAGCAGCCTGTCTGATCTACAAGAATAAGACAACAAATACTCCAGTGGTTAGATGAAATCAGCATCTCTCGCACAAATTGCAGCTCAGTTGTCTTAAAGGTTTAGATTCCAAAAGCATAGTTGCACTTAAACACTGACATTTATTCTGATTTCTTGCTCTTGGTAAAAGATGTCATGTGTCACCCTCCACCAGACCGCTGGTGGAAGTAGTCCACAGCTTTCAGTGTCAATACTTTAGCTGTCTTTGGAATACTCTGTGGATATCTGCTTAGCGTCACAATATAATATCACTGTTTTAAAGTAATAGCTCTGTCTTACTTTCTTACTCTGTCTTTCTTGTGTCCTCTCACCTTTCTTATTCAAAATGGTGGCAGCGCCACAACTTCATATTTCCTTGGCATCCCCCCTTCCCTCCTCTCTTTCCAATTTCCCTTTTTCCAACTTATAACTTACAGGCATGAGTTAAATGAACGTTAACAACCCCTACAAAACCCATCATTTGTCAAGACAATAGATCACTTTAAATATATCTTCTGAAAACTTACAAACTTGTGTTCAATATCCAAAACTTGTCATGACAAGTGTAGTTAAAGAGAAGAAATAAGTTAACTCAATGGAGCTGTCTTTTCTTTACAATGTATGTGTGATATACAGCTGATATTAATGCAGCAGAATCAGAAGTTTTATTGCCAGGTAGGTGTTGTCTGCATACCATAAACATATTAAGTGGAAATCAAAATAAAGGCAATGATCTAAAAAAGTAAAAAACATAGAGCAGAAAAATGTAATTGTTTTTGAATGAGAGAGCTGGACTGTTTTGTGCAGGATGAACACAAGTACTGATCAGGGGATCTGCAAAAAAATACACATTATTCAGTATTATATCTGCTGCTTTGCGGCAAACTTGGAGTGCAATCATCAATAAATGGACTTTTCTTTAGATCAGACAACAAACACCCTACTCAGTGCGTAGCGTTTAACCGATTTACGTTTTCCAGGACCATTTAGCATAGTGAATTAGCACATCCACCCTCTCCTGGTAAGGCATATAAACTTAATTAATGTCAACGCTGAGAGAAGACACTCGTGTTTATTAGCTACAGAGCTATGTCTCATTGCAGCTACAACCACGACGACTTTTATTCGGTAAGCGTTAGCTTAAGCTAACGTGCTTAGAGGGCTCTAACCAGGTTCTAACGTAATTAACATTCGCTAACAGCTATTTAGTTAATCTCTTGTTGTCACTGGTGCTAGCTAGCCTTAGCTAACGTCTAGCCGCTAGGTTAATTACTTCAGCTTGCTGGGTCTAAATGAGCTGTAATGTTATCTAACGTTAGACAACTCCTCTGCAGCACATTATATCTATGTTTACAACATAGCTACATTAGTAAGACAGCATGAATAAAGCTGTTTGAAAGCTAACTTAGCTAGCCTAACGTTATAGCTTCACAGTTAAAGCTAACACGTTCGCTAGTGACGATATCGCTAACGTTAGCTTATGTTGTTCTCGCCCAAACTGTTTTATAGAGCTGGATTTTACCTGTAGTATTGTCGTAGGGTCTTGCCTCCAGGATGCACTAATGCTCCCTTAAACTAGCTCATTAAATAACCAGGGTCAAGGCAGTGTTTCATTCATTTCTCCTCTACTCTCTCATGCTCTCTAGCCAACAGAGGAAACACCGAGATATTTACACTGTGTTGCTGGGAGACCAGTATGCTGACTCAAGGCTGCCCTCTGCAGGACAAACAAGGCTGCCTTCTTCCTGCTACTGCAGCCCTGCAAAAGAAATGTGACTGTAATGATTTTCAGTTTTTCTCATTTGCTTTAACACATTTGTCTCATCAGATTGCAGGCTGAATTTTGCCCACAGCTGCATGTTGAGGATCATTGCAGCACACCTTAAGACAATGGTCAAGCAGAGAGTTTATGTTGAGTGTAATGCAACTTTACCTTTCTTTTTCAAAAATTAAGCTTTTTATTTACCTGTTTTCTCAGTTTTTTTCTTTTTCCAGTTTGAGTTGTATCCCTGCAACTGCATTTGTAAGTTACTTTATGCAAATTATTATGGATAATTATGGAAAAATACAGTGTTGGGGAGTTGTTAACTACATGTAGTTCAATTATTGGTTTAATTACATTTTAATTACTACATTCAAATGTCAGTAGCTTTTTTAGTTGTTAACTTTGGGTTACATAGTTTATGTAGTTAATTACAAACTACCTATTCATAATATTTTCATGCAGTTTTTTTGACTGAAATCACCTCTGGTTTGCAACCAAGATGTCTGCAATTGTATATTATAAATATCCCTAGATGTTTTAGCTCCCTATCCTCTCCTTAAAACGTATCCTCAAGCTGCCCTAGTCCCTAAATCAAACACACCTACACTTTACTCAGAGTCAGTTGTACTTCTGTGTATCAATGATATTACAGACTCAGGTTGTGATAATTTCCTGTGATGTTGTTTGGATGTATTGAACTACTTTTTGAAACCATTTTGACTTTGCAAAGCTAAAATTTCAAGCGCAGTTAAAATGTAGTTTAACTTCTTTTCATTGTGAAGCAGCTTGTAGCTTGATAAATTAAAGTTTTAATGTAGTTTCCCCAACACTGGTAAAATATAGACATTAAGTTAAAAAACATATCCCTTGGTAAAGAAGCATTATACTGCATTAAATTTAAAAAAATAACAAAAAGTGTGTGCTACATATTTTTTCTTTGTCTTTGTCTCTTTCAGTCTGTATACCTTGAATCTTGAACCTACCATAAGGACCTGTTTGACAAACTCACCTGACGATTCTTCATGTCCAGAAAACGTGTCAGTCTCTCGAGTGACAATTAAGAGGACACTGTTATTGTGCATGTGTGTTTGAGAAGAGAGAACATGCATCCATGGATACCTGCCTGTGTGTGTGTGTGTGTGTGTGTGTGTGTGTGTGTGTGTGTGTGTGTGTTAATGAGCATGAGTAATTAACGGTGCGCTTTGATGTTCAGGCCCTGGGTGGTTAAAGTCTGAGAGAAAACGAAATATTAAAATAGGGTTGTTTATTAAGGAACAAACATACTGAATAAAACATACAACTTTCACAAGACTTTTTGTACAAGACATACTGCATTATCATGAGGATAGAACGTACATTTCTATAAAATCTTTTGACATTCAGCGGTCTTCAGTTCAAAAAACATGATTGTATTTACTTTTCTGTCGATCTTTATCTCTGGTGAATTTGTTTTATTAACCAGCAGGAAAGGTTGTTATTAAAATCACATACTGTACCATTCGTTACCATACCTCCTATCCTCTCCGCATCTTCTCTGGTCATGAGGTAACTGACTTGAGACCATTCAAAGTCAATAGAAACCATTGGATTGTCACTTGGAAAGAGAAGAGGTATCGGTGAACACTTGAAAAGACACTAGAGAAAAGAAGTCCTAAATTCAAGTGAATGCTAGTAGTTGCTGAGATAATAAAGAGACCGCATTTGGCCAACGCTGACAGAGGTTGGTTGTTGTGGAGGCTGTATTGATAATGATCCATAAGATGATGAGTGTGTGTGTGTGTGTGCGTGTTAACTAGACCACGTGTGTCTAGCAGCGGACCGCTCTCGCATGAGCAGCATGTGGTACCTGCTACACCTAACAGTCTGGTGTTTGTGCAATTAGTTGGATGACGATGCCAAGGAAGTCTGGTTTGTTTCCGGCTCAGTGTGTACACACAGTCTGTCTCAGCTCCGTGGTCTCACACTTGAAAGCCACTCTGTTGGATGTGGTGGAGCTGCAGGCGAAGAGACTGTATGCTGCTTATGATTCTCCTCTGGTGGCCAATCAAACAGATCCCGATACGCCTGATGTCGCTGAAGGGGAGAAGAGGAGTTACAGTTTTAAATTCATAGTTTGAGAAGAACTGTAGACCTACTTATAAATCATGACAAGCATGCAGTAAAGCTGTGAATGTCACACAAAAAAATACTTCCCTGTAATACTGTAATACTTGCAGTAGTAGTAATATAGTCACAGATCATTTCTTGCCAGAACTTAATAGTTAAATCAATTTCAGTTTCACTACTTTTTCTGTTCCTTCGATGCTACTTTGTTCCCTTTTAGTGTCTGATACTGTAGCTGCACTCTGTATAATCTTCACTCACTCTATGCTCATGGTTGAAATGGAATCCAGTGTTGTGTATCCTGCTGCAAGGAAGTTGTTCTTATACTGGCTCATTTTGATGGAGTCGAGCCAGTCGCCGATAGAGATGAAAAGAGGGTAGTCTGGCATGTCCTCTGGGGAGTCAGGGAAACTGAGATGACAAACAGAAAGTTAAAGAATACATGGAGAAAAGTTAGCAGATTGTTGAAGGATGCTATGATATACTGCTAATCGTCTTTCAGTGCATAAACCTGCCTTAGAAAAATGGTTTTAGTTCACTGTATGAGGTCTGGTATGCAATTTAACTTGCAGACACTTGCAGGAATTAGTGGCCAATATCACAGCTTTACTGATTTTTCTCCTCCAAAGCTACATTATTATTGAGCTGGGGTAGTTTTAACATCTCTACCTGTTGTTGTGGTGTTGTGTCCAACGCTTAGGATTTACCTGCTTTTAAAAGACATACTTCAGCTACAAAATCAGTTTCTCACCCCATTGTTATGTTGAATTCATGAAGAAAACTTTGGCTTGGTCATGCCTCTGCTGAACTGAGAATCCAACAAAGGAGAAAACTCTTGGTGAGTGGGAGTCAAACAGAGCCATGATTAACAACTATAAATCTATATCAAAATATCCATCTACTCATATATTCACAATCAAATTCAAACCTTTTCTTCCACCTCTCTAATTTCTGTGAAGGCTCTTTGGGAGGAGGATTTGGGGCGAGAAGATCTCTGAGTAGCTCGAATGTGTACATACCTCACCTGTTTGCACCAGACATGGGTTGATTCAATGTCAAACTGTTCATCACACTTGTTGGACCAAAGCTAGACTATTTAAAATGTATAAAAATTTGGCCCTTCTTGTGAAAAATGTCATCACACACCTGCAGTGTATGCACATATGTTTTGGTCATGTGTGTCGCTGCATAAATACTGGGCTGGGCTGCGATTTTCAAATGGGACATTTATCGAGCCTGATGCCATTACAGCCCTATGCTCGGAGAGATCTTGCAGCTGTTGTAACATTCTTGGCTAGACGTCTACGTCTCAAGTACTGAGCATGCGACTGGATAAATGAGACTTGGATTATACTGTGTGAAAGTTTGTAAAATAAACTTCGATATAGTTTTGCTGATGTTAAACACAGGCTCCTTCACCATTAAGAACTTTCTTCATTTTTGGATTCTTCATTCACCATGGAGCTCTCAAATTCAAGGTAACACAGGGTGAGTCACTGATATGCAAATTATCATTTTGTGGGCAAAGTATTTCTTTAAGGTACGAGAGATTCAAATATACACCCTCTTTTTCAAGCCAAACTGAATAAATATTCAGTGTGTGGTTTCCCCACAGTATCTGCAAGTTTTTAAGTCCATTCAAGATGATCATTATTCCCTCCTGACATTGAAAGAAATGGCTGCCTGGAGGGTAGAAAAGCAATAAACCTATACAGTGCACTATGCTTTAAATAGTGTTGTTAAGTCTAAACAACTTAAAGTAATTGGGCCAAAATCATGCAAAACCACCAGTGAACAACACCTTTTACAAAGTGTCTGTATCCACTGATACTTACCTCTGCATATCATTCACCAGAGTGAGCAGACTACTGGGATTAATTATGAGTTTGTCCAGGAAAGATAGCACATTGTTGAAGCGAGGACGCTGGTTGGACTCCTTCTGCCAGCAGTGCAGCATTAGCTGGTGCAGTGTCACAGGGCAGCCCATGGGTGCTGGCAGACGGTAGCCTTCCTCAATTGATAAAATGACCTGAGATGAACATCAGTAAGTTGAATACTAATGCAAAATAATATTTGTGTTGATCATGTTTAAAGCCCAGTTCAGACCAAAGATTTATGACGAGATAAACTGATACTTGCAGCTACTTTCTTGGCACCAGTCTGCAACGTTCAGACCACCTGCCAGGTTACACTGATATAACTAGAGGAGATGGTGTATCGTCTCCATAGCAACAACTCTATGTACTTCCTTTCTCACTCACAGCTTTTACATTAATTTTGTAGCTGAATATAATTTGTAGCTTCTTAAAATATGAATGAGGATAGTGATAGTGAGATGCTGGCTGCAGTTGCAGTTTTAGTAGTGATGAAATGGCAAAAACAAAACGACCTGAGCATCAGATGGACTCATAATACTAGGCCACAATGATTTAAATAACCAGCACTGATTAATCTGTCTATGAATATGTGGTAATACTTAACTTGAAGGTATCTACATAAGGATGACATGACACTGTCATAACTATGACATGACACTGTCATGAACCTGTCATGAACATTATGTACATGTCATAAACGTTTATGACTTCTGTCATTACGTGTCATTCGGTTTTTGTAATGACAAGTTGACATTGTTTGGGTTGTCTTGATTATGACAACTTGACATTAATTAAAGTGACATTACCAGAAGCTGTCTTTGTCATGACAAGTTGACATTAAATTTGTTTGGGATGTCCTTATAATGACAACTTGACATTAACCAGGATGATATTACCAGAAGATGTCTTTGTCAT